GGGCAGTTTTGGTGGGAGAAGCTCGGGCATTCCCTATGGTGGTGGTTATAGATCTGGCGGTGGAAGTGGATATGGTAGCAGAAGGTTCTACAAACAGTGGAAAAGGGCTATGTTCCTTAGCAGGAGAGTGAGGTGTTTTCAAGAAAGCTGCAGGTTGCTCTGAGACAGTCATCCCAAATGCATTAGAGGAACTGTAAAAATCTACCACAGGAGGAATGATGATCCACAGTCAGAAAAGTTACTGTAGCTTAAACAGGAAACCCTTCTTGTTCAGGACTGCCATAGCCACAGTTTGGAAAAAGTGCAGCAATTAATGCAATGTAGTATCAGTTGGATGTGCATTCCTAAGGTCTTTTACCTCTTGTACCTTTGTTTTCTTCTTTTCATTACATCAGGTATGTTGCCCTGCGAATCGTTGTAGTGGTACCAGGAATAAAAAATTAAGGAATTTTTATCTTAAAAAAAAATACACATATGGGAAGTGGTTTGGTGTCTAGCTCGGGTGCCTGACTGCACCTTCCTGCCAGGGAAGATGTGTTAAAGAGTGAGGGAGAACTGGATTGAAGTTCTAGCTCTCACTTCTGATCACAACCTTGTCGATTGTGGGCATTTGGGGAGCAAAAGAGCAGACGGGAGTGCTCTATCTCTCACTGCCTCTAAAATAAAACGCATATATACTGTGGATGATGGAGTCAGCATGAGAAATGAGAGTGTGGCGTCCCCTAAAAAAAAAAAAAAAACCAAAAAACAGGATAGCTGTTACTCAGCTCCAACTGCTCTTAAAACTCATGTATTTATTTGAAAGGCAGAAAAAACTCACAGAGAGACAGAGAATCTTATGTTCTCTGTGTCACCCCACAAATGCCTCAGACAGCTTGAAGTTGTGCCAGGCCAAAGCAAGGAGCCCTGAATACAATCTGGCTCTCCTAACTGGGTAAAAAGGACTCAAGTAATTGAGCCAGTACTGGTTGCGATCCAGGGTGTGCATCAGCACAGTGCTGGCATCGGGTGTAGTACTTAAACTCCTGTACTCTGACAATGCATGCAAGAATCCTGAGTGACATCTTACCCCCTCCGCAAGAAGTCTGTCCTTCAAGCTGATTTCCCCCATTGAGTTCCTGAGACTTAAAAGTTTCTCAAGAAAAAACATCTCTGAATTTTCATATGAAATCCATTGGCTGTGATGTGGTGTCCCAAAACATGAAAACAAACAGGACCAAGACTCTGAGCCATCACTTGGAGACTCTCCAGTTGATGGAAGATTTGTTGTTTCCATGCAAATGTGAATGAGGGCATGATTTTGAAATAGTAAGTGTGGGTGTGACTATGAATTGTTACCTGACCTGCTCAACTTGATTTTCGAAGCTAAGAAGCTAGATTAAAACAGTATGCTGGCTAGCACACAATTTAAACAGTGAATGCCTGGCAAAGGCAATACAGATGACTACCACATATGCAGTTAGCCATCCCGCCCCCCGCCTTTTTTTTTTAAGAAAAAAAAATCCACCTTTTATTTACTTGAAAGACAGAATGACAGAAAAGGAGATACAAGGAGAAAGAGACAGACATCAAAGGATCTCTCTCCCATCTACAGGTTCACTGCCCCCCCCCCCCCCCCGCCAAGATGGGATTTCAGCCTGGCCTCTCACATGGATGGCAGAGGCCCAGATGCATGCACCATCCTCCATTGCTTTCCCAGGTATGTTGGCAGGGAGCTGAATTGGAAGTAGAGTAACTAAATCTCAAAAATTGAACTTGTGCTCCAATATGGGATGCTGGTGTCACCAGCTGTGGTTCAGCCCTATGAGCCATAATGCCCTGCCTCAGTTGGTACCCGAAACAAAGTGCGTGAGTATATGACTATAATCTTACTTAACATGTTTAAGAAGGGCAGAGCATGCTTATTCCAGCACACAGGAAATGCAAAGAAATGGGAATTGTTCAAATAAGATGGATGTTGGGACATAAAAGACGTTGTCTATATTGAAAAGTGGTTGCTAGGACACGCAGTGGTGCTATAAAGTCTTTTTTATCCCGAGAGCCTCCTCTACATGTTCTCGGATGCCTAAGCTTTTTTCCCTTTTGCTCATATCCTTGGAATTTGTTGATACTACCCCCAGCCCTCTCAGGAAGGCCTCTCGTTTAAGGCTTCATTGTAACACTTTGTTACGTTTCTGCCAAAGATACCTTCTTACATTTTCGCCAGCTTCATTGGAATTCCTTCACAATGTATGGTCCATAGTGTCTGTCTTCACCTTTATCCAGCTGTTAGCTTGTATCCTTATGTAAATGTAGCATGTGGCTATACCATCTACCTGAACTAGAAGACAAGTTGACGAGGGCAGGAATGAGAATACATAACTATAAACTCCTCAACAGGTTAAGATTCCCCCAGAACACTCCAGGTTTGATGACTCCCAAGAACTTAAAGGATTCAGTGAGCAGAGATAATCACAGCTTTGAGTTATTATTATTGAGTTGTGTCCTTTGAGCAAAAGGACATAAAGTAAAATCTTTAAAAGAATGACCCATCTGGTGAACTCTGAACAAAATCAGATACAAACTTGTAAGAATTTTCTGCTGGTGGAATCGCAGGGGATACATGCAATTCCTCGAGGAATGGCTTCTGACAACATGTGTGAGATGCTTACACAAAAGTCCATCAGGCCTGCACAGTGGCCTAAAGTACTCACCTTGTATAAAACAAGATCCTATATGCTCATCAGTTCATATCCTAGATGCTCCACCTCCCATCCAGCTCCCTGCTTGTGACCTGGGAAAGCAGTCAAGGACGGCCCAAAGCCTTGGGACCCTGCACCCATGTGGAAGACCTGGAAGAAACCCTAGGTCCTGCTTCAGATTGGCTCAGGTCAAATTGTGGATACTTGGGGAGTGAACCAGCAGACGGAAGGTCAAGGTCTTTGTCTCTCCTTCTCTGCATATCTAACTTTCCAATAAAACTAAATAAATCTTAAAAAAAAAGATGCCCATCAGAAATTCCATACTCACAGTTTTGTTAGAACTGGTCATTGAGACCCCATCTCCCCAATACAAAGAAAATTCCAGATTTCCAAGACAGTATGAGTTTAACATATCCAACACTGTTTGCATTACAGATTAAGCAGTGAGCCACCAACATAATTTAGGGAAAGCTTTATTTCTTTTTAAATATTTGTGTTTTTTTTAGGTCCTAGCACAGTAACCTAGCAGTTAAAGTCCTCGCCTTGAATGTGCCCACCAGGATTCCATATCGGTGCCAGTTCTAATCCTGGTGGCCCCACTTTCCATCCAGCTCCCTGCTTGTGGCCTGGGAAAGCAGCAGAGGATGGCGCAAAGCCTTGGGACCCTGAACCCACATGGGAGACCCAGAAAAGGTTCCTGGCTCCTGGCTTTGGATCAGCTCAGCTCTGGCCATAGCGGCTACTTGGGGAGTGAACCAGTACACAGATCTTCTCTGTCTCTTCTCTCTGTAAATTTTAACTTTCCAACAAAATCAAATACATCTTCAGAACAAATGAAGAGTCTCAGGGTTTTGGCTTGCTAGCAGGCCCCAGAATCATTAAGGGTGAGGTGACCGTGCTCCTTGGCCATAAGAAGCACCAGAAAAAGGCTGGTGAGGAATGTCTGCTTTATTAAGCACAGGCTACAGATTTCAAAGAGTAAGGAAGGGGAGGGCAGGAGGGAGCCCTCCACCAAAGACACTGCTATTGGCTGTATGACAAAGCCTTGGGACCCTGGGAGACCTGGAAGAGGTTCCTGACTTCAGATTGGTGCGGCACCCACTGTTGTGGTCACTTGAGAAGTGAATCATTAGATGGGAGATCTTTTTCTCTGTCTCTCCTCTTCTCTAGATATCTGACTTTGCAAATAAAAATAAACAAATCCTTTTTAAAATTTATTTTATTGATTACCTTGCATTATGTGACACAGTTTTATAGGCACTGGGATTCCCCTCTCCCCTCCTCCAAACTTGCCCCCCCCATGGTGGATTCTTGCACCTTGTTGCATTACCACAGTTCAAGTTCAGTTGAGATTCTTTCCTTGCAAGCATCTACAAAGCATAGAGTCCAGCATCTTATTGTCCAGATAAGTTCAACAATTTCTTGGGGAGACCGTCTCTGGTCTGAAGGTAGAGCTGACAGAGTATCATCCCAATCAATTAAAAGCCCCGACATTACATCAGTAACAACTTATAATGTAATGGAATTAGTTGACATGGTATTGTGTAACCAGCATGTTAAAACAGAGAGAGAAAAAAAAAAGAGTGCAAGTTCTGAACCACATCCTATGACTTCTACATTGACATTACAATTATTAGTTTATATACAACTGGGTTCTATACACCTTAAAATGGCTATAGATTACTATTCCACTGTCTTTTGTCTAAAATAAACAAATCTTAAAAAAAAAAAGAATTCAGTGATTCTAGAATGAAATTTAACTTGATATTATGTCAGTGACAATTTTCCTAAATCTATGTTATCATCTTATTTTCTGAGAATACTCTCAGCTACCTCACAAGGGTATTAGCATATTGTGTGCTGGGATAAGTAAATTATTTCACAGTCAGATTTATAATTAAACCTTTTCCTGCACTCCCCCAGTAGGAATGTGTTATCCGCACATTCTGATAATTATCTTACAGAAGAAAATATTTATAATACAATCTTAAATAAAAATTAGGTGCCAATTTCTATCTGACTTCCTAAGTTAGTCTTTACGAAAAGAAATGGGTTTCCATACAAATTTATGTGTAATGATTCTGGGTTCTTAAATATGAGAAAATATCAAAGTTACATATGCACCTATCAGTTAGTAACCTAGAGTCTATCATAACAGTCTTCTGCATTCCAGAAGAAATACATAAAGCATACGCTCAACACATTTAAGTTAAAAAAATCTCAGGTCAGCTTTGAGGCTCAGCGCATAAAGCTGCTGCCTAGCCAGCATCCTGTACATGCACTGGTTTGAATGTTGGCCAATCCACTTTCTTCTTCTTTTTTATGATGGAATGCTTCACAAATTTGCATGTTATCCTTGCGTAGGGGCCATGCTAATCTTCTCTGTGTCATTCCAATTTTAGTATATGCTGCTGAAGCGAGCACCCAATCCATTTTCAATCCAGCTCCCTGCTAATGGCCTGGGAAAAAGCAGCAGAAGATGGCCAAGTATTTGGGCCCAGCTATGTGGGAGAACAAGTTGAATATCTGACTCCTAACTTCAGCCTAGCATAATGCTGCCTGTTGCAGCCACCTGCGGAGTGAACCGTGAACTGGGAAATGGAATGCCTCTCTCTGCTTCTTTTTTTCCTGCCTCTAACTCACACTTGATCTTAGCCAAAAGGCCGAGAAGTGATCCTGCCTCTAACTCTACTCTGCCTTTTTTTTCCCTGCCTCTAACTCTACTGACTTCAAAAATACATGATTTTTTTTCTTTAAAAAATTTTAGGGCCTGATGTGGTAGCCTAGCAGCTGAAAGTCCTCGCCTTGAACGCACCATGATCCCAATCCCATATGGGCGCCAGTTCTAATCCCAACAGCCCTGCTTCCCATAAAGCTCCCTGCTTGTGGCCTGGGAAAGCAGTTGAGGATGGCCCAAAGCCTTGGAACCCTGCACCTGCATGGGAGACCTGGAAGAGGCTCCAGGCTCCTGGCTTTGAATCGGCTCAGCTCCAACCATCGTGACTACTTGGGGAGTGAATCAACAGATGGAAGATCTTCCTCTCTGTCTCTCTTCCTTTCTGTGTATCTGACTTTCTAATAAAAATAAATAAATCTTAAAAAAAATGTTTAAGGCTGGGTTTGCCCAGGCTGCAGCACTCACAGGCATACCCAAGAATAAAGTGTAGACCTTACAGGGTCACAACATCCACCACTCACACACAGGCCAGGACGGAGCGGGTAGTCTGTGACCAGTGAATGCATAATACCCACTGGCACATGCGAGATCTAGGTCTGGTGAGGGAACTGGGAAACTCCCATGGTGAGCCATAGCTCCCACAGGTGAGTATGTGACTCAGGCCTAGGTGCTGGTCAGACCCGGCAGGGTAGCTCCACCCATTGGCAAGTGTGTGGGTTGGTTTTGGAAGGGTGTGGATCATGCAGGGCCAGGCAAACCTTAGTTCATTGTCAAGTGCAGGAGCCAGGCTGGAATGCTCAGCATGCTGGGCTAGCCTATCACACCTGCTGGTCTGACTGAGTAACGGATGGGAGCAAGCTGGGCATGGCCAAGCTTCATCATTCACTGGTGAAAGTTGGACTGAGGATGAGCTGGGTCAGGCCAGGCTGCAGCATCCGATGGCAAAGGTCAAGACAGGGGATGGGCTATGCCAAGCTGGGTCAAAGGAACCACTGTCGTGTACAAAATCTGTGGCTGCGAACAGGCCTTGTTGACACTAAGTGGACACCCTAGTTAGGTTGTGGTTCCCACTGGTGAGCTAAGCTAAGTGACACTAAGCTAAGTGGACATCCCAGCTAGGTTGCGGTTCCCACTGGTGAGCACAGAAGCCAGAATGGGGGTGGTGGTCTGGGCTGGATATAGTTGTAGTGTCCCTTAGTATGGGTGTGGACTGGGTCTGGGGTTGTGAGACTGGGCTGGACTCCAGGACCCACTGCTGTTCATGAAAGCAAGAGTGGGTGTAGGATGGGCTGGGCTAGCTTTCCGCTCCCATTGGATTATGTGAGAGCTGTCAAGGTGTGAATTAGTTGTGGCGGGGCTGTAACATCCAACAGTGAGACCTAGATTGGGTAAGCGCCAGCTAGGCAAGTATACTGTTTCTGCCAGGACAGCAGGTGGGTCCTTGGCCCAGGCTGACTTAGCCCACCTGCCAAGGACCCACCTGTGTGTGCAAGATTGACCAGGGGAAGGAAACCCAATAAGGAGGCTGAGGAACTCCTTTGTCAGGACACAGTTCCTGCAGGTGAGCACAGGAACTTAGGCAAGGAGCAGGACAAAGCAGACCAGGTTACAGTACCTGCTGGCCTGGTGGGCCAGGTTGGGTCAGTTCATAGCACCCATCTGGCAGGTCTGAGAATCAGGACCAGGGTACTGGACAGGCTGGGTCTGGCTGCATCACCAGCCAGTTAACATTATGGCCAGGACTGGGGGCTGACTGTGCCACCAGTGCGAGCTGGAATGGGGGCAGACCAACCTAGGCCAGGCTACAGCACCCACTGGCAAATGCTGATGTGAGATGGGTCATGCCAGACTGCACCATAGCACCCACTAACACATGTGAGACGTGGGGCAGTGTGCGAGCCCAGTAGGGAAGTAGTGGGGACTCCTCTTCTGGACCACTGCTGGAACTAGGGGCATACCAGGCTGGGCCAGTTGGCCTACATGTGAACAGGGTTAGGGAGAGCCAGGGTGGGGTATCTGATTGTATACACTGGTACAGGCATGAGCCGGTTTAAGAGCAGGTGGGTTGGGCTTTGAAGCTGCATCAGCTGGCAAGTGCTTGGACTGGGGACAAGTCCTGTCAGGCTAGACTGCAGAACCACCTGGAGTATGTAAGATTCGGGACTGAGAGTGGGTTCAGTAGGGAAATGGTGGGGACCTCTCTGATGGGCTGCAGCTCCCACTGGTATGAGAACCAGGAGTGGGAGCAGGCCTGGTTGGACAGGCAGTGGCACCCACTGGCATGAGTTGGGCTGGCAGATGGAGTTGGTGGGCTGAGTTAGGCTTCAATGCCCAGTTTTGTGTATGAAAGCTGAATGGGATGTTGGACAACTGGACCAGTCCACTGCACATGCTGGTAGGCGCAGGAACCATGGCGGGGGGTGGGCTCAGTGAGGGTTATCAGGGGTTGCTCCGACCGGCTTCAGTCCCACCCTGGTGTGCAGGAGGGCTGAGTGTGTGGTGAGCAGGGTTGAATTGGGATGAAACACCCACTGGTTTGCTGAGGAAGGAGGGCAGAATAAATCAATCAACTACCCCAATGAAGCTCGATGGCCAACTTCTAGGCGAATGGAGAGTCTGAGGTCGACTATGTCATCCAATAGGCCTTGGAAGGACTTCCTCATTCTTGGAGTGGTGATATCAGCAGCATCTCAGAACTACTGAAAGCACTTGAGCAGAACCCTGAGAACATGCTCCGCAGCGGGGACCTGGGGATGCCGTTGGGTACTGGGGACGCTGTGTGTGGTCTCTCCCGTTGTATCCTCCCTTCCTCCAGATACAGGAAGAAGAAAACGTGTGAGCCGCGGTCTTGTCTACTTTCCTCTGATCCTTGATCTTTCTCACCCTGATCAACTGTGTAAATAAACAATATCAAAAACACAACTTAAAAAACCCTGTTTAATTTATGTTCCTTAATCTATCAACATTTCTGAGATACAGGTGGGGGTAAGGTTGTTGCATTGGCATGGAGTTTGGTCTTACAGTCGCTATTTTCTATATTAGCCACAAAGGACATATCTTTGGCAAGTGCCTTGCCAAATGCACATTTCTTTTGTAAAGATTTATTTATTATTATTGGAAAGCCAGATATACAGAGAGGAGGAGAGACAGAGAGGAAGATCTTATGTTCGATGGTTCATTCCCCAAGCGGCCACAATGGCCAGAACTGAGCCAATCCGAAGCCAGGAGCCAGGAGCTCTTCTGGGTCTCCCATGCGGGTACAGGGTCCCAGGGCTTTGGGCAGTCCTCGACTGCTTTCCCAGGCCACAGGCAGGGAGCTGGATGGAAAGTGGAGCTGCTGGGATCAGAACCGGCGCCCATATAGGATCCCGGGCTCGTTCAAGGGGAGGACTTCAGCTGCTACGCCAAGCCGCCGGGCCCAGGTTTCAAATATTTTACAATTAAGTCTTCATGTTTTCATTTGCCAACTACAAATGGAACTAAATAAAATCTTATCACTGCAAATTTACGTGTAAACAAATGGAATTCCTGGAATGCAAACATCTGATTGACCAGATCCTGCTTGCTAGTCTCACAAATGAGGCAAATTATCCCTTGTACTTTTGAGACAACAGTGCAAAAAATAAATAAATAAATAAAAAAATACTAACCATACCGCGGTTTGGGACGCCAGCTGCATTTAGTTAATCTCATAGAAACAGCAGGTACCGCTCACAACGCATATTCAGAGATTTAAGGCTCGCAATCAAGCGGAATCCTGGATCCCCAAAGTCCGCGATTCCGTGGGGGATGCTGTGGCCTGGCCCCAGGGTTATTCGGACAGGAGCCATTCATTTCCCAAGTGTCTGGAGTCAAAGGAACAACTTGGGCGGACGTTCCCAGGAAGTCCCGAATCCCTAGCAGCCGGGCCGTTTACCGGGTCTGCACGTCCTGTGCTTGCAGGCGGACCACCGACCCTCTCGCCGTCCCCGGGACAGCAGCAGGGGTAGCACCCAGTTGCACCTGCGGAAGCCATGGAAGCCTCGGGGCGCGGACCAGGGTGCCTTCCCGCCCCCAGCGCGCCGGGAGGCTCTGCGCAGGCGCGCCGTCGTGCGACATCCGTCACTTACGGCCGGAGCGGCTCGCGCTGGGGGTTGGTGGAGCTGTGCAGAGCTGCCAGGAACCGACGGCTTCGGCTCGGGTAATCAGCTCGTCTTCCTCCTCCTGCTGCTTCTCCTGGGTAGTCGGAGCTGCTCCGTAGCTTCTGGACCGACGGCGGGGCTCCGGTCGCGGACTGTCCCCGTTTGCTGGGGGCGCCTCCGGCTCCCAGCTTGGGGTGAGGGGCGGGGTCCAAGCTGGACTGCACTCCATCCCGGAGTCTCGGTGTTGAAATCTCCCGGGTAACTCTCGACTCTTGTTTTTCTTAGATTGCTATCCGGGGAGTCGCCATGGAGCCCGAGCAGATGCTGGAGGGACAGACGCAGGTAGCCTGAGGCCCGCAGATCCCGGGGGGCGGCGTGGCCGGGGAGGCGGAGAGGGACAGTGCGCTGATGTCTGTGTGGCCGTGGTTTTGTTTTCTAGGTTGCAGAGAATCCTCACTCTGAGTACGGCCTCACGGACAACGTGGAGGTAACTCACCCAGTTCCCATGCCGCATCCACGCGTCTCTTTGAGAGCTGGAGAAAGCCTGGGATCCGTTTTATGTTAGCTCACTTTGCAGCAGGGAAACTTTAGCTAGCAGGAGCTGGATAGTATCAAGTTGTAGTT